CGGACCCTGGGCAGCGCAGCCGTGTCACAGCGGTGAGCCAGTGTAAGGGATGAGCCCTGCGGCAAGGAGCCGTGCGAGGGATCTTCACCTCCTGTTTGTCACTTCAATCTCCAAGGAGCGCTGAAATGTGGAGTGGAACCCACTCCCAACCAGACCCCTACCAGACTGTGTCTGTGCTCTCGCTCCTGTGTCTCGCTGCTTTCCGTCCTTTTGTTGGTGGTGGTTTTGGTAAAAATGAGAAGGATGGCAGAAGCAGCACCTGAAGAGCAGCATCAGATCCTGGTGTCTCAGCATAGCATCTGCAGTTGCCTTGGCTACACCAGCCCTCCCTCAATTAGCCTCCTCTCTGAGAAGAAGATGCACTCAATGTGTGGTAGCTGTGCATGTGAACTTGTTTTTAATGGGATTACTTTACTTAAAAACTGGGACACCTCTGGGTTTGCACAGTGCTCGGTGGGGTTGTCACAGTAAAGAGAACAAGTTTGTGTTTTCATAATGCATAAGAAGATGCTACATGACAAAAGAGGCTTTATATTGAGCAGCTTAACTGCTCAGGGTCTCACAAAAAAGGGAGAAGGAAGCTGGAGGGGACTGAAGGTGTGTACACATGCTGTCTGCAGAGTAAGGTGAATGCCAGGGTCTAACCTCACTAAAGAAATGTGTTTTTTCTGAGATGATATGCAAAAGCAGTCTGCAGTGTGTGTATTGAATTTTTTTGTGGTGCAGAACTCCTGGTTCTCTTCCTGTGTCCCAGCTGCAGGCTCCAACGCTGCTGGCCAGGCTCCTGGGTTAGTCACCACGCTGCCATTAATGCTGTGTAAACAAACAAACAAACAAACAGCAACCTTTTCTTTTTGAAGGCTGTGTGCCTTTGCAAAGTAGAGCAGAACGAAAGAGCAGCTTCCCAAATGTGCAAGGTCAGAGCAGAGGGTCGGGCCTGGAGGGAGGCTGAGGAGCCTGTCTGGGCACTCTCTTCTCGCTGTTTGTCTGGGGCTGAATGGCTGGAATGTGTTTGGCTGGGTAAAGCTTGGTCAGAAGCTCTTGCCTAAAAGCAAACTGGCTCTTGAGACCACCGCAGCATCACCAACAGCACTGGGAAAGGACACCACCATGGGAGAGTATTTTCCAGACTTCTCTTGGTCTTTGGTCACTTCACTGCTTTGAGTTTCATGCCTTTCACATGAACATGACATGAGCTTATAGATGATGTTTGATTTCTTACCTCTGCTTCAGCATTTGCTGTTTCCAAGTGGCACATGCTGTCCTTTGTGCAGGGTGGTTGTGCTTTTGTCAGTCCCGGTTTCTGTGTCATGTCCTTTGGCTTGGAGGGGAAGTCTCCACCCAGACCATCTCGAAATCTTGGGTGTGGAGGATGGCCCTTATTAGAAGTGTACTGCTTTTTTTAATAACACAAATTTCTTGCAGGAGTTTCTAATACAGGCAGTTGTGCAGTTTAAAGGTAATTTGTTTGAAAATTCCCTGCTTTCAGTGAGCTACTTTGTGACTGACAATGATTTATCTGGAACTTGGCAGCTGTGAGGCAATGATGTGGTGACACCATCTTGCATTACCTGACTAATTTTAACGTGCCGAGTCACATCCATGCTCAGGACTGTGGACACTGTGCCTGGGGAGTGCCAGGACAGTGTGGCTGTGAGGGAGGAGGCAGACAGGATGGCTGGTGAAATAGGTCTGCTGGGAGAGTTACTGTTCTGGACAAGCATCAGGCAGTACCTCATGCTTAAGAACATAATTCTCACCAGGTGGATCAGCACAACTTTAATTTTTTGCTGCAAAGGTTTTTTTTCCTGGAAAGCATCATGCTTTTGTCAAGACAGAAATGCTGGAAAAAAGTAAATTGCACTGAAAATTTCCATCCAGATTGGCTTTGAGAATTCTTGTGCCAGTGCAAGCTTTGCTGGGAGCTCTCTTTGTTTTGGATTTGAATACGTCACTTTCTGTGCTTGTTAAGGACAGACAGGAGAGCTGGAGCTCCCACACTGGTGTCCCATGGTGAGCAAGGCTTGTGTGGACAGTGTCAGTCACTATTGGCTTTGCAAACTGAGGTGAGTTCCTGCTCACCTCTTTTACTTGGGTTTTCCTCTCAAGCCAAGGAATCTTGTTCATCTATGTGGGACAGATTTTGTTTTGATTTCTTTATCAATAGTTTGCTTATGGATTTTATTCACAGCAAATGGCTTAGAAAGAATTTGCTGATTTACAAACAAATAAGCCTAATTTTTTATTCTCTAATTCCTTGTGGCACATGAACTTGTTTATGTAGTTGTTGCTGAGAAGCAGCTCTGTTGTAGGTGTTGGGGTGCACAGCTGGTGCAGGGGAGCTCTGGCTGCGATCCCAGCCTGGGAATGTGCCACCTCTGCCTTGGCTGTTGGGGGTCTCCTGCAGCCCTTGTAGAAGCACTGCTGGGACCCCTGGGCCCCTTGTGGCAGCAGTTCAGCTGTGGGACTCTTTCCTCTTTCTGTGCAGGAGAGGAAGAGAGCTGCTGTCACAAGGACTAATCTCGAGGCGCTGGCTCTTCCTGTGCCGAGCCCAGCATGTCCTGTGCAGTCAGGGAGACCTAAGAATAAAAACAGTGGGTACTGCGTGTCTTGTGAGCAAATACAAGTAAGGAAAACATTTCCTGTTCACAATTTTCTGCACAATCCCATCTGAGCTTTGACTATTTTATAAATAAAAAATGTCTTAGGTATACTTGCATTCTGGACAGTAAGTTTAATTGAACACCTGATCAAATGGTGGTTATTCAGGGAGTCTGAGGTTTTTGCCCTGCCCTGTGATTTTCCCAAAGCTGTAGGACTCAGGGGTGACAGGAAAGAAGAGCAGAAGCTCCATGTGCTGGGAAGGGATCTGTGCCAGCACCTCTTTGCCTGCTGGAACTTTGGGTATCACACAGCAGCCTCCGCTCCATGCTTCTGCTGAGCCCCTCAGTGCTGCCTATTTATTAAAACTGACTAAACCCACCCAACACCAGCTGCAGGGAGCTGGAATCCATTTGGTTATAGATATTGTGAGCACCTTTGCCCTGCTGCTGCTGCTGGATCCTCGACTGGAGCAGCACAGGAGGGTGCCTGGAGAAAAGCAAGCACAGGGCCCAACTGAGGTGTGCAGTGGAGCTCTGTGGGGATTTTGCACATTGCAGCACTAACCCAGAGCAGGGCTGAGCAGGCAGCAGTGCTGCTCTGGAGCCTGATTCCTTCTCCCCAGCATTGATGGCATCACATCCTCAGATTCTTGGTAGTTCCTGTGTTGGTGGTGTTATGCTGTTTTAGATATGAGCATCTCTGACATCCTGTGATAATCAAGCATTGAAAGCCTTTCCCAGTTTAAACCAGGGACTTCCAGGCTAGTTTAACATTATTTTTTAATATTATTGTGATTGTGTAACAAGCTGTTCAGTTCTAGTGTTGTGTCTGGTATAGCAGGAGGTTCAGTGAAGGTAATATGAGTTGCCCCATGAAATGTGGTATCCCTACACTGCTTGGCTTTGTGGAGCAGGAGAAAGGTGATGGGAGGAAAAGTCCTGAGATGTTAAACATTTACAGCTGGTTTTTGGCATCTTTGTCATGTTCTACCCATTTTAGCTACTCTTCACATGAACTGTAAAAGCTGGAGGAAAAAGGCTTAGGGACATTGTTTAGGATGTTTCAGTTAATGTCTTACATTTCTGTGGTTAACAGAAACTAATGATAGCTAAAGATCATACAAAGTTCTAAAATGAACGAATTTTAAGAAAAATGTTATCATAGTGCTCCTTTAAGAGGCGAAGAGGGAGACTGATGCTGGTGCTGACCACGAGGGCACGGAGGGTTTGGGGTTGGCTTCCTGCTTGGTGGTGTTTCATCATCCATTTCCAGCGGAGAGGGAAAGTTCCCAATTGTGCTGCGGTCTAGGACACACTCATCAGTCCCAGGTCCATTCAGACACATCGCTGGTTTCTCTCAGGTGCTGGGTGTTCTTCTGGCCTGGTGAACAAGATCTCACTTCAGGCTGGGCAGGCAGAGCCATACCTTTGGTGGTGACTCGGAGATGCAGGAGAGGGGGGCGGCCGGTGGGGAGAGGGTGTAGCAACACCGCAGGCAGGCTGTGAGTCGCTGGGGTCGCAGGCTGTGAGTTTGATGGGGTTGCACATCACAGGTCTCTCCTAACCTCTCTCTGTGAACCCTTTGCAGCCCACGACCTTCCCCCGAGCAAGACGGCGGCGGCGGCGGCGCAGACGGGCGCGCACCTGCAGTGCCTCTCGGTGCACTGCACGGACGACGTGGGCGAGGCCAAGGGCCGGACTGCGGTGCCGACGTGGAGGTCCCTGCACTCGGACATCTCCAACAGATTCGGGACTTTTGTGGCTGCCCTGACTTGAACAAAAGGAATTATTATTTTTTTTTCTTTTTTTTTTTTTTTTTTAATTTCAAAGGGCCGCTACTGCTAGGTGGACTATTTTTCTAGGTTGGTACCTGCTTAGTGGCATATGGACTGGAAAGGGTTAATTTAAAGTAAACCTCAACTTTTTTTTAATCTTCTGCCACAGTATGTTACCAGTGTTAACCCTTCTGCAGTTAGCACACTTTTGCTTAAGATTTTCCTGCTAGACCACTTTTTCCCATTATTCTGTAACCTTGGCATACATTTATAGATGAGGCCTTTTCCTTTTTCATCTCAGTGTGTGTCCAAGTCACGTATGTCATAATAAGACAAAGATTCTCCTCTTCCTCCTCCTCCTCCTTTTCTTCCTCATTTGCTTTGGTTTTTTTTTTTTTTTTTTTTTGTTTTGTTTTGTTTTGCTTTGTTCAGTGCTTACTAGGATGGTGATCCTGAGGAGCAGCAGTTCAGGAATAAACACCAGTGAAAGCGAAATGGTCAGCATTAAATCATATGTTACAGTGACACCCAGCCTTTGCCAGTCTCATACCAACCAAGCAGTTGATGCTCTGTTGAATGTTCAGGCATGGACCTGCCCTTTCCTGAGAGAATGAGGCTCTGATATCAGCCCTGTTTTGCTCTGTGCCTCCTGGTGAGGCCACAATGTTCCTTCCTGTGTGTACCCTGGGATGGAGCTCTGTCATGAATGGGCTGGTTCAGGCACAGGGAAGGTATGGAGAGGTTTTTCTAAATAAGTTTTATAGTCATTATCTCTTCCTCCAAAGGCCCAGGCTCCTTCTTGCTTGCCTGGGCCTGATGGTGCTCCTGCATTTCCCACTTTATTGATAATGGAGAAGAAAATCCCCTGCACCCTGCCTACTTTTTGCCCATTTTAAAGTGCAGAAAGATGCTGTTGATTGGCAACAGGTCCAGTGTCCCCTGCACTTGCCTGGGGGTGCCCCAGCCCCTGTCACAACAGGTCTCAGTGCCGTGGTAGACGTTAGGGATGGCCCAGATTGGAAGATGCACAGGGCTGTGTGCCCAGGGGTGGCATTTCCTAATCTGCCAGGGCAGGGAGACCTGGTGTCAGAATCCCCCAAACTCATTCAAGGCCCCATTTCTGTCACACACTGAAGAACAGCATTGCTGGATGCACACAATAAAAGGAAAGCCATACTTTCCTGCTTGGGCTAGATAATGCTCATTCAAAATGAAAGTTGGAAGCAAACCAGATAAAGCCACAGCTGACACGATGGGCTGATTCTCCAGTGGTTTTATGTCACACTGTCCATGATTTGTGTGTCCCTGTGCCCAGGAGTGGCTCTGTCCTGCCCCGTGCCTGCAGCTCGCCTCCCACAGCTCCTGGAGCTCAGGAACACCACTAGAGGGTTTGTTTTGGTTGTGAAATAAAGGTTGGCCTCTCTAGGGTTATTTATTCATGATTTCACAAATGTGTCCCTGCTGAAGGGACAGAGTTGAAGACTGCTTTATATGTTATCTTTGATGATTGTGCTGGGTCTTTAATTATTTTGAGGTAATATTCTTGGTAGACACCAACGGAGAGGAAATTCTGCCTAAAAAGCTAAAGGTGGTCTGGAATTCTCACTCTCAGTCATATGTGGCTTCAGAGAGACTCACAGTGTTTGGAAATGTGATTTGAATGTGCTCTTATTAACCATGCATGGATTGATTTATGGGTCTGGTCAATGAATTGACTTTGGATAAATTTGGATAGTTTTTAATCTTGGTTTTCAATATTATTTTACTTTGTATTAAAGCTGGAGCTTCCATGAGGATGAGGATTTTTGCCCATCCTGAAGCAACTGGCTGTGAAGCTGCCTCACAGCCACTTGGTTTGGATCAAAAAGCTGGGATGGTTTGTACCTCTGTCAGGGTGTGCAACCAGGAGTGCAGGCTCCTCCTGCACCTGCAATAAAATGTCACCATCCCCACTAAAGTATCTCCTAGCAATCACTGTCAGTCCCCTTACAGAAGGTGCCTCTTTGCCTGTGATTCCTCAAGTCCTGGCTTACCTAAGTATGTGTTTGATTTTAAATCCTGTCAGCAGAGCACGTGTGCTGCTGTGGGGGGCCCTGGGGTAGCAGCAGTCACTGAGTTCCATCACTCACAGCTGAAAATTTCAGCCAAGTTCATTGTCTGGTGGCATTCCTGCTCGGAGTGCAGTCCCTTGCCTTGTGCTTTGTTTTTAGTTTTTCCTGCTGCACTGAAGAGAACAGGTTTTTCAGGCTTCCTGAGGTCAGGGATGCACACCCTGTGCCACGGGAAGGAACCTGTCAGGGAACACCGAGTTCAGATGCTTTTAAAGAGAAATCCCTGTTTGAGTGGAGCTGTGGTGGCTTGGTCTCAGCACCCAGTTCTGCTGGCTCATTCTCAGCAGCTTGCACTTCTCTCCTGGAGTGTTGTTCTCATCCACTTGGAACTTGCTTTTTCACTTGCTTATGGAAATGCAGAGCGTAAGCAATTCCTTTAAAATCAGTGGAATCCTGTGAGGTGCGGAGGTGTCCTGAGGCCAGGGGCTGTGTCTCCAGTGCTGAGCTGTGCAGGGTGGAGCCCTGGGTGTTGTGGCACTTGGCCACCCCTGGCTCTGCCCTGGGCAGTGGGTGCAGTGCAGGGTTGGGACTGTCAGAGTGGGAGGAGGTGAGGCAGTGGCTGGCTGTGTGCTGGAGTTTACCTGAATCAAACAGTCACACACAGTCCTCCTGCTGACCTTCTGTCTGATCTTGATTGAAGAAGCTCTGCTTGAGGCAGCTGTTAGCCAGAACCAACCAAACCTGTGCTTTTAGGGTTTTGTTGCTTTTTTGCCAAAGATCAGAACAGAAATTCTGTGTTCTGACCAGGACAAGCATCATGTCCTGCTCATCACCTGGGGATGTGGTACTGACAGCATATACAAGGTTCAAGCATATACCAGGTTCAAGCTTTCTCACAGTGCTGGTGGCACCTGCAGTAATTTCATTGTACCCATTTTCTCCATTGATTTTACACTGAATGCACTGATCAGTTTTTTTAACACATATAAAGTGTCAGCATGGCCTGACACATTATTTTCTAAATAATGATATTCCAACTGAAATATGTTTGGGAGCTGTAGGTAAAAGCCAGTTGTGGAAGAGGTAAGTTGCACTCTTGTGGAGAGGGAAACTGAGGCACAGACAGCAGCAAGAGACTGAGGGAACAGTGGCAGGGCTGAGCTGCACTGACGTCTGACCTCTGCTTGCTGCAGAGCCCCATGCCCGAGGCTCACCTCCTTCGGAGCCAAGTTGGGTCAACAGGGGGAGAATTTTATCAGATACATGTTCCCCAAATGCCTGGGAGAAACCTCCCCTGTGTGTCCTACATGGCTTCCAGATGGGGACAGTTGGACACAAAGGCAAAGAGAGGTGGCAGGATGCACAATCTGCCTTAGGTTGGGAACAGCAGCTACAGTGTGGCTTTGCCTTTTGCCCTGGGGATTCTCCCTGGCTGGCTGGGCTGGGGGAGCCAGGACATTCCCCATCTCCTGGCCCTGTGCCCTGGCTCCCTCTGTGTTCCCTAAAAAACCCTGTGCTTGGTCTGCAGTTTACAGTGTTGTAGCAAACCAAGCAAAATTTCCTTTGCATTTCAATTGGGAGGAGCGATCAAATACCTCTTTGCCAAAAAAGGACAGAATAGGCCTCATTTATTAAATACTCCTGCAGATTTTCTCCAGATCACATTCTCTTGGGGTTACTTGCTCTCTGCTGTTTGAGCATCAGTAAAGGGGCTTTAGGCTTGTTGCTTACTTAAGGTTTTCACAGTGTCTGAGGGTGGAAGGGGATGAGCACCAGAATTCTGTCACCTGGATCACCTGGGGAGGTGTGCAGGTCCTGTGGTCCCCATGGCACTCTGGGGCTGGACTTCCAGGCACCACCACCAAGGCAAAAAGTTCCAGTTTTGGGAGGTGGAAAGGATGAGGTGAGCAGCAGTGGGATGGGCACTGGGTGGGTGGGTTGGACAACAGAAATCAAACTGGTACATTTGACTTATTTTTGTTAAGCTGCAGTGTAAGGTTTTGTCAGCTACTGGATTCACAGCTGTTCAAGGGATGGTGTGTAAGAGCATAACCCATTTTTTGTAGAATTGTTTCTTCTTTAATGCTTAAGGCTAATGGAGGAAATAGTCTAATTTTGTCTTAGAAATTCTCTATTAAAATTGTTGCTTTGAGTCCATCCGCTCATAGGTTCTGACTGATGAAACTGCAGGTTCTGATTTCCAGCAGTTATAACTTTATCACTATTCACTACCCAAGAATATTACAGCTTTAAAACAGCCTTAAGCAAAAGGATATTATTTCTTTGTACTAAATTTGGTTCATGGAAAAGAAAAAAAAAGAAACCTCAAAACACTGGTAATCCGTACTGCATTAGCAAACTCTTCTGAAAAATGTTATTGCACATGTAAAATATGAAAACTTGACTCTGCTGTGTGTTAGGCAATCCTGTAATCTTTTTTTTTTTTTTTTTTTTTTTTTTTTTTTTTTTTTAATTCTTGTTAAATTCATTTCCTAAATGCTTGGTTGGAAGACTGTGACGATAGCTCATGAAATTGAGTGTTATTTTTCTTTCTTTTTTTTTTTAAATATGTAAAGTGCAGTCTTCTGTATTCCTGCATATTGTACATATCTGTATATGTTTTACTGAGCAACTAAATAACAATAAATATGATGTTAATGGTGGCTACTCTATATTTCATACCAGGTTTGTTGATTTTTTTTAGCAACTCCTTTTTCCCAGAGGTGTGAAGAAGTGAATGGATACTGCTCATATTCGGGTAAGTTCTGGACCTTGTGATGGGTACAAATTTGCCCATGACCTCAGGAAATGTGAGCTGGTGGCCCTGTCTGTACACTGAGGTTGTTGGTACCCTCTTTGCTGCTGGGGGGTGGAGATGTCTGTGCAGCTCTGCCCAGATGCTGCCATGGGATCTTGGGGCTGTCCTGCTCTCTGTGGCAGTGTCTCTCCTCTGGTCACTGGAGCTTGTCCAGAGGGGCCAGAGCGTGCCTGGAGCTGCTGGGCAGTGGGAGCAGCCCCTGGGGTAGCTCCCCAAGCCCCCAGCCCTGCTCCTCCTTTGTCCTAGTTGTTCAGTAAAACTGCCCACGAGCTCTGTTAATGGTTGGATTCACACAGCTCCTCCAGCACACGAGGCCATTTCTTGGCTCCCAGATCTCCCACTGTGCAAAGGCTCCTTTGCTTCTGCCAGCAGCTGGAGCAGCCCCTCCTGCTCCAGCTATGCTCCACCCCAAGCTCCTGCTTCCAGAAAGGCAGCAGGAGCTCCCTGCTCACTGCACATCACATTAACAGATGAAAATCAACTGAGTGGGCTTTGATTTCTGCTCTTGACACTGGCTTTGCTTGTCACCTGGTAATGTCACCTCTGCTGATGCTGGCACGGTGCCTGCCCATCCCAAACACTCGCCTTCATCCCAGGGCACTGTGCTCAGAGACTCACCTGGCTTGTGTCAGAGTTAAGCATGGATTATAGTTTATTAAGTAAAGAAAAGCAAGTGGTTGGTCCTGGAGCTTTTACACTTCTTGCTCTCCTAATCATTTCCTGTGGCTTGTGACTGTGCTGAGAGCTGAAATCTGTCTGTAGCTGCATCTCTCTGCCCAAGCCATTTAACTGATTTAATTATGTCCTTTGAGTTACTTTCTGCATGAGGCTTTGGAATTCCTCTCATGAAGACTGTAAATATGTGTTGTATGTTCAGCAGTCAGGAATCCATTGGCAGTGCAGCTGGATCCCATGTGCTGGGATCTGCTCGGCCCCTCTGTGGCCACCATGTGTGGCTGCTGGGCAGCTCTGCCCCTGCAGTGCCAGCCAACATTCCTGCAGTGCTGTCTGGGGGCTCCTGTGTGTGATCCAGAGTCGTTCAAACCCCCTCATCCCCTGCTGTTTGGGTGAGTTGCTTGCAGCTGGCTGCTGGTGCTATGGGAGTACAGCAGAAGGCATCTCTCTCCATAAAAAACAAGGTAAATAAACACAGGAATGAAAGTTTGAGTCAATGGCATCCTTTTGGCTGAGAAAGTTGTTAGAAAATAGAATCCCATTGTAATGGATTTCTTTTAATACTGACTATTTCTGAAATCCCTAGGTCATATTCCTGAAGTTGTTACTCTCCTGCCTGGGAGACAATTTGGAGCTCCCCCAGCAGTTTGGCATTATGGCCAATAACATCACATATATTTTGCTTGTAAAATGTTTATATTTTGCTTGTGAAATGTTTAAAAACTCTCTGCTCAGGTGAGCTCTGTGAGGCTGTGCCTACAGGGCAGAGGAGTGGATGGGGGTGATGTCTCTTCTAAGCTCTCCTTTCTGAGGTGTTGGCAGAGCTCAGTAATGACAGTGCAGGAAGTGGAGGTGACAAGACCTGAAGAAAGCCATGTAGATCATCTTTGGTTCATTAGTGCAGGGCTGTGCCCTGCTTCCTAATGCCCAGAGCTCTGACCAGCACAACCAAAATGGACAGGGTGGTGGGGGTCCTTAACCTTTTAGTGAAAAAGAATAAAAGCAACCAACCCAACATCCCTTCATTCCAGCTGTGGAGTGGGGATGATGTTCGGGGTGATGGAAGGGGATTCATGGCTGCCTATTTGCAGCACTGGCAGGTAGCAGAGGGTTTGGGAGGTGCCAGGGGTGCTCTGACAGGACCTGGGGGTCCCTGGTCTTGGGACAGCATGTGGTGGGATATGGGAGGAGGGATCTGTGGCTCCTTTGTGTTCTCACCTGGCCATGGACACGTGTCACCATGGCTGAGCCTATTTCCTTTTAGATCATGCCTGTGTCACACCTGTGAAACAAGCAACAGAGGAGGAGCCCTGGTCAATGGTTGCTGTGTCCTCTTAGGGGTTTCTGTTAGCAGTGCACAGACAAAGGAGCTGTTGAAGTGTCACCCTAAATGTGATATTGAAACACTCATTTCAGCCTCCACCTCGAAGAAGGCTGAGTAGTTTAATGCTATGAGGGATGCTATGTTCTGCCAAAACATCCTCCTGCTTTGGGGTTAACTGCTGGAGAATATTCAGGGCTGAGCTTCAGGAGGTGGGAACTTTTCTCAATTTCCTTTTATCCTCTGCAAAATGCCCCTGTCTCCCTTCCCCCTTTCTTCCCCCCACCCCCTTTTCTCTTTATAAAGCTGGAATTCTTCCAGACTCTGCTCTGGGCTTGCAAGAAAACTTTACTGTGTAAATTTGCTCTTTGTGTTGGGAGTCCTTTGTTTAAACAGCATTGTGAGCTTGCTGGGGAGGGATGGAAAGAGGGGGAGCTGGGAGGAAGAATTTGAAAAGCCCTGACCCCTGATGAATAAAATCCAGCACATTAACACATTCTTCAATAAATTCATGATTGCAGATAAGGTGGGAGTCCCCAGGGCCGGGCTTTTCATTAACCCCCTGCTGACTAACCCAAACAGACGGAGTGTTTTGTCAGCGCCAGGACAAGCAGAGCCCTTTTGTGGTGGAGGGGCCGGGTGAGCATGGGGAGCGCTCCTCCAGGAAGCCAGGTTACAAAATGGGACTCTATTTCAGAACAAACTCCTTTTGGTTAGTTTGATGAGATTACAGAAAGGAAAAGGCTTTAACAAGGGGCTTATTGAAGCTAAGTAACTGTTCTGAATACAGTGAGGACCAGGGCAGAAAACATATGATTCCCAAGTAAACAGGCGCCTCAACAGCATGGCTGGAACAACGGAGATGGACATGGTCCGTGTGGTTCTTCTTGGACACATGAACCTGTGTGGGAGCCCTGCAATAACCTGTGCACTGCACCCTGCACTGCAGGGCTGGGCTGGAGAGTGCCCTTGGAGGGACACGAGCACCATGTCCACAGTGTGCCTTGCCCAAGGTTTTCAGCCTCTGAAACCTTATTTGTTCCTCTGGTGGGAAGTCTCCTGCAGGAAATATTTTGCTTTTGTGGAAACCTATCCCCAGAATGCTTCCCTCCCACATTAGGGAGGTGTTCTGGGTTGTTTATTAGAATACCTACATTTTTGAAAGCTCTGAATTCTGTGCCTTGTGCTCTTGGTCAGCCAAGTAACTCAGAGTATCACTCAGCCGAAAGAAAAGTGTTTTGGGGGTGAAATGCAGGAAAATCCTGAGTTTGTCTCAGGTTCCTGCTGCCTGCTGGTGATGAGGCTGTGCTTTTCCTATTCTGCCCACCCTCTCAGGAGGTTACAACCTGTGGTGGACTCTAAGCTTTTCACAGAGCAGAATCCTGTCCTTTGGGAGTAAACTCCTGCACAGGACAGCGCACCCAGAACCAGGTGGGGCATGCACACCCCTCCTGCAGACATGCACATCCCGCTGGGAAGCACATGAGGGATGCAGTGCTGGGGCTGGGGGGGGCTGGGGGCTGCAGGCAGCATCAGCCCTGCCAACTCCCCCCTGAGCTCTGCAGGCTCAGCCTTCTTTCTCTGCTGTGTTTTTGGTGTGCACTTTCATTTACCTGCAAGATACAATATTAAATTATTTCCCATTGCTGCTAACAGAAGCTTTTTGCTAATTTCCATGGAAAATAAATTCCTCTCTTTTAGGGGAGCTGAAGTGTTCCAGCTGACTGCTCCTGGCCCCATCAGCATTGTGTCTCCTCTCCTAAATGCAAGGGTAGGTGCTGGGTTTGATGCCTCAGGACGTGACTGGTGCAGCCTCCACTCTGTGCTGAGCTCCTGGCCTGGCCAGCAGCTCTGTGGTGATATAGGGGAAGTGGTTGACAATTTAAGCCTGCAATCCCTTGTAAACAAACATTGTGTCTGCTGTGTCCTTCTCTCCCAGCAGCAAACATGGCAGGGGCTCCTTTGCAGTCTGTGTGAAACTATTTACATTTCTGATGTTAATGAAGATAGAGAAATATTGTATTTGTATTAAAATCAAATTATCTCAATTCATGTCCCTCAATGTCCCTTGTTCTTGATGTAGTGAGATTGAACATTGTCAGTTTCCCTAATTAATGGCCCACACCCTCATCTCTGAGAAATCTCTGTCTGGCTCAATGCTGTGCATGGGTTTTGGCCTGAAATAACCCAGGGTAATAACCTCTAACCCCTAACCCATGTGCAAACAACCTCCAAAACATGCTGGCCTTATAAGCCTGATACTCCTTATCAAGGCTCTTGCTTAGGAGCCCAGGTGAAGGCAGCCCCATGTGTAAGAGATGACTTTTGCATTAATGCAATTTCATATTTTACTGTCGCTTCATCTCATTGACAAAAAGTATCTGGAAGAGAAAAACCTCATTGTTTGGGTACATACAAATGATGGGTTCAGGCTCTGGCTGTGGGTCTCTGTGGCCTGTCTGCCTTGTGCCAGGCTGAGGAGCATTTCCCTCTGAATATCCCTCCTCAAAGCCCTCTCTCCCCTCGCTGCTGGCAGAGCAAAGGCAGCAGTTTAATGGTTTGAACACATGGCTCTGCTGGGCTGACATGTTCCACTGGAAGGAGCAGTCACAGCTCCTTCCCATGGAAAATCCATCTGTTCCCCTGCATTCCCTGGTGTGTGGGGTCTCACTGCTGGGGCAGGGGGACAGGGGATGTGGGTATTATTTGTATTATTTGCTGTGCACCCTGCTCAGCTGAATGATGCTGGAGCTGCTGAAGATGGGGTGCTCAGGCACGTTCCCTCCCCTTCCTCTCCCTTCATTTACTATCTGAGACTTTGCATTGTAAGAAAAAGCTGGTTTTTTATGTTGGGGCTGTT